CTAGCTTTATTACCATAATAGTAATAATAATAATAATAATAATAATAACAATAATAATAATAATAATAATAATAATAAATGTTATTTAGCCAGGGTTATCTCTTCAGTATAAAATGCTGCTATCAATGAGTGCCCTGGTAAAAAAATAAATAAATAAATAAATAAAATAAAATAAAATAAATAATAAATAAATAAAATAAAATAAAATAAATATTTATACATATAATTTCAAAATACGAGTTTTAAAAATCGCAACTCACTTAGAATCCTTCATTTCACTTGCAATATTATTAAAAAGTTTAGATCCATTAAAAGAAAAAACTTCCTTGCCGTCTCAGTTCTGACTTTGGGGAGCAGCAAGTTGTTCCCACTTCCCCTCGTGTTGTGGATTGTTCTAAAAACCTTAAAATAATCTTTAAAAAACATTGGAGGGGATCCCTTCAAGCATTTAAAAGTCAAATTAATAGTGTGCATGTCACCCCTCATAGACAAGGGAAGCCACTTTAAATTCTTCTCGGCCTTCTGAATCTTTGGTCTTCAAAGCAATCTTAGCTGCCCTTCTCTGTGCTCGATCTAATCGTCGCTTGACCTTTATAAGACAGAGAACACAACAAATGGTTGCCGATGTGATATGCATGTAGAAATGCCGGAAAGTATCGTGAAGTAAAAAATACCCTGAGTAGAAGAGCTGAATCAGTTCTAACTTTGAGATAAGCACATCTGTAGTCAACTATGAAAGCTGCAAAACTACTTTCCATGTTGAAAAGTTTACGTGGGTGCAAGCTCAGTGTAATTGACTACTTTATAGAGAAACTGTGTACACGCGTTGAAGTAGGAAAAGAGTTTCTACTGAGTTTACCATCACTTACAATAGCTTGAAAAGGCAGAACATGCTCCATAAACTCAATTCATAGTATCGCTCTACCATGGCCGGCAACAGGTTGAGAAATAAATAAATAATGAAAATGTATCAGATAATGTAAAGAAATAAGAAGAGCCGAATAACGAGTTCCATGTGCTTCTACTGACTATTGTGCATTCTTAGTTCGTCTAGGATCTCTTTAAAGCAAGGGGCTCGAAATACGCTCTTGCAACCGTTTATAACGTACTAGTCGAGTAAAACTAAACCGCCCCGTCTCCTTTGCTCTTAACGTTTTCTCGTACACCATCTCAGTCACTCACTCCACTGAATCAGCTCATGGGCCTCATCGGTACGTTGTGCGAAGAGTTTGCTAGTAATAAAGCTGTTGAAAACTAACATGGTTAGAGCTTCACATGCAGGAAAAGTACTGAAGGTTCGTGTTAATAAAATGCATTTTCCTCACATGACCTGTAAGAGAATTTCATTTTAAATATGTGAAAGAAATACAGCAAAAACAAACGGAATAAAGCCAACTGAAAGGCGTAAAGGACGGTTAATTTCTATCTGTTCTAGTCGCACAAATAAAGCAACAGTTTACCCCGGGCAGTTTACACTCTTCGATTTTCGGTAATGGGATGAAACACTATTAATTTGCACCGCTGCGGCTGTGTATCTTAATTCAAGAACTTAATAATGAACCTGAACCTGAAAGGTAAGACAAACAAAACTTGCTAACCTGGCAATCAAAGCTTAATTCACTAAACTGGCCTCGCACAATAAAACGGTTGGCTTTGATTAATCACGAAATGAAACTGTTTTCGATTAATATATAACTATTCGACGACCATGTTCCGACCGAGCGACTTGTCTTAATCCGAGTAACAATTCAATATTTCAAGTTAGCGCTTTTATTCCGGCCTATTTTNAGTTTGCTAGTAATAAAGCTGTTGAAAACTAACATGGTTAGAGCTTCACATGCAGGAAAAGTACTGAAGGTTCGTGTTAATAAAATGCATTTTCCTCACATGACCTGTAAGAGAATTTCATTTTAAATATGTGAAAGAAATACAGCAAAAACAAACGGAATAAAGCCAACTGAAAGGCGTAAAGGACGGTTAATTTCTATCTGTTCTAGTCGCACAAATAAAGCAACAGTTTACCCCGGGCAGTTTACACTCTTCGATTTTCGGTAATGGGATGAAACACTATTAATTTGCACCGCTGCGGCTGTGTATCTTAATTCAAGAACTTAATAATGAACCTGAACCTGAAAGGTAAGACAAACAAAACTTGCTAACCTGGCAATCAAAGCTTAATTCACTAAACTGGCCTCGCACAATAAAACGGTTGGCTTTGATTAATCACGAAATGAAACTGTTTTCGATTAATATATAACTATTCGACGACCATGTTCCGACCGAGCGACTTGTCTTAATCCGAGTAACAATTCAATATTTCAAGTTAGCGCTTTTATTCCGGCCTATTTTTTTTTAAAAAAAATGAAACAAGTTTAGTATGAGCTACTTAATACATGGTTGTTTTATTAATACCTAATTCCAGTGCCCTGAGTGATCTGAGTGATCATGGCCATAGTTATTTGTTATCTGATCAGTAAATTTTTGCAAAGTTGGATAATTAATAGCAATGATAAGACTGAGGAGCTCACCGTACAAATAACGGTAGCTTAATTTGTGATTGTTTCTTGTTACTTCAATCCAATTTAGGTTGACACAATGCTAAGCATGAGATAACAACATGCATGTCCAGGCTAGTAATAAACTAATCACAATATTTCTTGAATACAGGCTACCTTTCCCTAGCTTTCAGTTTTAAATTCCTGATACTAAGTTTGATTTCACTCTCGGATGCTACGGATATGCTCTGTATTTAAACAGTTTATTCAGTTACTCCTAACAATTGAGAAAGAAATAAACTTTAGCGCTGTATACAAGTTGGAAACTGTTCGTGTTTCCTACTTTCGTGTTTTGTGACAGCGAAAAGAATGTCATTACCTCGAAAAATTACTAAACTAAAATCACTAAAGGTAACATTTAGAAACGACGACACGAAACCTGTACTTACAGATTGTTTGTCTCGCCTTCACAAGTCGAGTGCAACATAAGAAAATTCGTCTAATACCACGACCGCGTGGTCAACAGGCATGCCCGTAGCCCCCTACGTTATGAAAACTTAATTCGATAAGTTGCATCAGGTTACCAGGAAGATTCTATTCATTTCTATCACAGTGGGCTTCTGAGGAAAACTTCCTACCATACACTTTGAACTGAGAGGATTTGGATAAAGTAGCCGGCAATGAGTCCAAATAGAAATGAGAACGTTTGATGGATCAGTTGTAGTTAACTTCGCGTAACATATTTGACCATATTTGCATGCTAATAGATACACAGATCTCAATCAACCAATCAAACAACGACAGCTGTCAGCATGTACCGAATACAAACTGAAACTGATTGGGAAATAATAGAAGAAATGCACAACAACCAAAATAAAACGATCTTGAAATCCAGTCACCTATACATCGTTTCAAACTCCTATTAATAACTTTTGCAAAGGAAAAAGTTAAGGGCTACTAATTTTCATCAACAACTAATATGCTGTTGATCGTGCTCCAAAAACGATTCACTTTCACTACATCGCGTTACCAACGTAGACGCCAGCTTCATAGGACGGAGAATATTGGATAATGATAAATTGCGGTGGACTGTAACGAAGTGCATTTGAAAAATGAGAGTCGAAGAGCTGCCAGTTTAGGATTGAGATGAACCAGACTTAAGAATAAAAGCTTCAACAGTTTGAAAGTATTCCGGTAAGTTTCTTGACCGGAGAGAGAATAGAAGAGAAAATGAATGTTCACTTCTCACAGTAGATGTAAATGTATTTTAACAGAGAAATTTTAAAGCATCGCGTTCACCGCAAATTGTACCACGTGACCAAGTTTTCCATTTATTTATCGTTTTTAGTTCTTTATAACCACACGAAAATCGTGCAAGGCAGACTGTGTCGACGCCTCATCCCTGTAGAGATACTCGTGGATTCAAAAAGGCCAAACGTTCGGCTGAACTTAAATGTACGTAGGCAATTCTTCAAATGATTGTGTCACCCATACTTGTGGCGTCTAAAATACAGTAATTATAAATTTATGTGCGAAACCAAGATAATTATTTAAGAAAGCGAAAAATCGTGCGACCAGAAAGGTTGGCACAATGCGCAGTGAATGCGATAAACTTCATCGTGGATTGAGCTGATCAAGTCATGAAGTGGGGGTCGAGCGGGCTTTCATTTGCTGTCACTTACGATTCTGCTGCATTCTCAGTTCTTCCAGGAAAGGTACTTTAAAATAAGGAGCATGAAACACGTTATTGCAACGGCTTCAAACGAACCTGACGTTAATTAACCCACCTTGCCCATTTACACATAGTGGGTTGCCGTGTTCAGCATTACACTGGTTTCACTGACTTAGATAAGTGAATTAGATCCTGTCATGTGCCACAAGGTTGGCGCTCAGGCAATGCACTCTTAACATCTAAGACATTTAACACAGGATTTAAGTAATTACAATTTATCTAGATCTACGACATACAATCGTAAGCACAACGTTACTGGAAAGGCTGTTAGTCTGCTCAGAAAACAGAGAAAATTACATTAAATACTGTGAAAAGAAAAATGCAAGAACAAATCAACAAAACTAGAAAAACACTGGAGCATTTTCAAAGTTTTCATGGCCGTGAAATATACCTTTTTTCTTCATGTGTGATAAGCATAAAAGTGACCCAAGTTGTATTCACTTTGTGTTAACATTCATGTTGTATTCCATGACTCAAGTTTGAATTCTTTGATTCACTTTTCATTATTATCTTGTAACTACTTTAAGGACTATACTTGCTCGTGGACCTGGATCACAGCATTGAAAACTAAAGTTGATCTAAAGTTTGATCCTCTCGGAACAGTGCACTTTATTCACCCAACTGAACTTGTTTTTTATTATTATTTTATTGTTTACTGAAGAGGAACTCAGGCTTTTGTGCTCATGTTGGCCGCGCGGATGCACCACCAGTCTTACCAAACACGAAATTTTTTCAAACATCTATTCCAGCTGCTATAGCCGATAGTTAAACCAATGCCTTTTTCTACAGAGCCCATACAATGTTCCGACAGGGAAAACAGAGAAATAGGACGTTACAGAACTTTGGGCGATGCCAGCGCAGGTAGGATCAGCATGATTTATTTCAAGGCTGGTGGCGATGTGGAATTTTATTTCATTTGACTGGGACCTTCAACTGTTTCGTCGGCTTTCGGAAGTGTAATAAAACAGAATATGAGACTTTCCCTTGCTTGTTTAATAGAACTCAATCATAAACCTGAAATAGAACTCAGATGCTAGACAGAATATTAAACTACTAAATACTAAAATGTTCACAGCTCAATTATACTGCTTGTAAAATGTAGCTACGACAATCATATAGTAAAATATTTTTGGACTGTATATATATGACCTTGCTCAGAAAGAGTTTGATTGTATCCCACAGACAATTGAACATATGTAAGGCTTTTATACTCCCACCTTGTTTTTGTTACAAACGTTTTGTTAGAGTTACTTATTATAAATGCGTGGTCGTTTCACATTTGACAAGGCAGTGTTCAAAGTTTACTTCAGTCTGCTCTGAAACATTTCTTAAATAGAGCAGAAGAATACGCTTGGAGGTCATACTGGGATAGATTTTACAGTTTGCTACGACTGTAAACTTCTCGAGATTTGAGATGAGCCAAATTAAAAATTAAACGCTGCAATATTTTGAAAGTATTGAATGTACTTAGGACCCGACCGGACAGAGAAAAGGAATGTTAATTCACCCGGAATGCATATAGATCAATGCCTTTATCTCTGGCTCAAGGGACACTATTTTTTTAAAGCTACAACACTTTTCTTAATTTTCCTAGAAAAAGNTTTACTGAAGAGGAACTCAGGCTTTTGTGCTCATGTTGGCCGCGCGGATGCACCACCAGTCTTACCAAACACGAAATTTTTTCAAACATCTATTCCAGCTGCTATAGCCGATAGTTAAACCAATGCCTTTTTCTACAGAGCCCATACAATGTTCCGACAGGGAAAACAGAGAAATAGGACGTTACAGAACTTTGGGCGATGCCAGCGCAGGTAGGATCAGCATGATTTATTTCAAGGCTGGTGGCGATGTGGAATTTTATTTCATTTGACTGGGACCTTCAACTGTTTCGTCGGCTTTCGGAAGTGTAATAAAACAGAATATGAGACTTTCCCTTGCTTGTTTAATAGAACTCAATCATAAACCTGAAATAGAACTCAGATGCTAGACAGAATATTAAACTACTAAATACTAAAATGTTCACAGCTCAATTATACTGCTTGTAAAATGTAGCTACGACAATCATATAGTAAAATATTTTTGGACTGTATATATATGACCTTGCTCAGAAAGAGTTTGATTGTATCCCACAGACAATTGAACATATGTAAGGCTTTTATACTCCCACCTTGTTTTTGTTACAAACGTTTTGTTAGAGTTACTTATTATAAATGCGTGGTCGTTTCACATTTGACAAGGCAGTGTTCAAAGTTTACTTCAGTCTGCTCTGAAACATTTCTTAAATAGAGCAGAAGAATACGCTTGGAGGTCATACTGGGATAGATTTTACAGTTTGCTACGACTGTAAACTTCTCGAGATTTGAGATGAGCCAAATTAAAAATTAAACGCTGCAATATTTTGAAAGTATTGAATGTACTTAGGACCCGACCGGACAGAGAAAAGGAATGTTAATTCACCCGGAATGCATATAGATCAATGCCTTTATCTCTGGCTCAAGGGACACTATTTTTTTAAAGCTACAACACTTTTCTTAATTTTCCTAGAAAAAGTAAATGATCGGTTCAAATGACTTTGACTCACTTTAAAGAAAATTCTTTTCTGAATTGAGACATAACAGGAAGTACGTCTTTTACATCCATTTTTCAGGTTTTAACTTTCACAATGAACGCGCACCCAATCGGCTGATCATTCGTTATGCAGGCTGATATCGTTGACTGATAAGCAAAGCTGGTGCTTCAGCTAGTCAAAAAGAGTACATGCGCGCTTGTTATAGTAGTAATCTACTGGCCACAGGCTCTATCAGTTCTTAGTAGAATTCGCCTGGCGCTCGGCTCCTCCTCCCCACACTAGCTCACTACTGAAAATCAAGATGGGCGGCTTCTTCCATTTTTTATCTGTTCTCTAAAGGATATATTTACGTGCAAGGATGGCATGTCGACGCCTCTTCTGTAATACTCGTGGATTCAATGAAGCGAAACTTCTTGGTGAACTAAAATGTACGTAAAATTCAGTAATTCTTCAAATAGTGATACAAGCCATGCTTGTGGCGTCAGGGATAAATCACTCCTGAAAAATTCGAAATGAACGCGACGAAAACGTACAACTAAAACGGTTGGCAAAATGTGAGAAACTTCATTCTCAGTTGATCTTTAGCCTACAGTAGTGCCGAGAATGAAACGACTGCGAAGGCTTTCATTTCCTGTCACTTAAGGCCGGCAGTTCGTCTAGAAACTTTACTTCTAAGTAAGGGGCATGAAACAGGCTATTCAGGTATATATAGGCTTAAAACGCAACCAAGTTAAATTAACCCTTCCTGTCCATTACACATATAATAAGTTGCCTCGTACCGTACCATCAAACGTACTTCTGTCACTGATTGAATCCGAGTTCCCAGTGGACTAGATTTCAGCGCGCGATGCCGGAGCTCAGCTCCAAAAAGAACTTCAAGTAACGAACTGTTAACTAACAGACCCCATTTCACATGGCTGAATTAAAGTGAGGACATCTAGACTTACACGCAAGAATAGCACAATGGTAAGGCTGTTTATCTACTCAGAAAGTTACATTAAATAAATTGGGGCGAAAAAAAAACCCTGAGCAACAACAAATCTACGATGCTGCAAAAATCTACAATGCTACTAAAAAACCAAGTGTTTGCAAAGTCTTTATAGGCTCAAAATACATTGTCATTCATGTATCTCTGTTTTCTTAAAGTGTAAAGTTAAGCATAAGAAGACCGAAGTTATAGTTCTCTAGTTGTGTTAATATTTATGTTGTGCTAAGCACTGAACTTTTCTTTCACTTACCACTTTAAACCCTTGTAACTAATCAACAAAAAAGAGTCAGTAGACTTGTTTTTTTCTTTATGGCCATTAATACACACAAGAGACTATAAAGGGGACAGAGAGGGCATCCCCCATATACACCCTATTCCATAGGTAATTTGTCTCGAGTTATTTTTAACACCACAGATCTCAAGGGGGATTAGACAACAGCCAATCACATAGCGCGAATGTGTTCCGCGTGGATGACCCACGCTGAGAGCCACGCGTCCTTCACGAAATGACGCAGAACAAAATGGGGAAGACGCGGAGAGCGATTTTGCTATTCCTTTTGTCGACAAAAACGACTACAGCGAGATTTCTGCGAAAGCTGTGTCAGCGAAACCGAAATTAAAAAAGAATCGCTCTTCCTCTCTTGTATAGAGCTAACAGTAGAGCAGGGAAATCCTTAACACCCTGAATATTCTCTCAGGATCATTTATAATTTACAGTTTGAAGAGAGCAATTTCTGGTTTGATGTTTATTTTTTTCAGTCTTTATAGCGATTATTCCTACCCACTAACTTTGTCAATTGTAGGCGAACCCTCCTAAAGCTGAATTTCAAGGAACCATATTCAAGCATAGAAAGAGAAATAAAATTTCGTCGTTGCTTATTCACGTCCTCCATAAAACGCGAAATTAGGCATTTTCACGTCGTAGTCGTGCAAAAACGGGAAAGAAATGAACAAAAAAGTGTGTTGCACGTGCGAAGTTGTTGTTTTGCTAATTAAACCTATTGTTTTTTTGACGTTCTAGTTGTCGTCCGCGTCGTTAGATCTTAAACTCCCTAAATTGTACAAAAGACCGGTTTCAATAGACCGGCGAAATTTCTCATTTTATTAAAGCACTGAGGTTACGACAACTTCGAGTTAAACTGATTTCACGGGTTGTCAAAGAGTCCAGCGATTCCTTTTTCCCAGGTGAGCGCCGACTCATTTCGCTTCAATATTCAGGAATGCTCTCGATCTTTTTACGCTTTCATTGCCTCTCGCCCGACATGTTTTGCACGGCGTTTGGTCATGCGAAACCTCCACGAAACATCCACGCCTCGCGCGAGGTAACTTTATCCCGATTCTAAAAATAACTCGAGACGAATTACCTATGCGATAGGGTGTATATGGGGGATGTCCTCTCTGTCCCCTTTATAGTCTCTTGATACACAGCGTGCGAACTTCTTTAGGAGTAGTACACTTGATTCAATGATCCAAACCGCAGTTAAAATTAACGCAGCCTTTTGTTGTGCAGATGCTCAAATTGAGTCTTACCAAAACGAAATTTTGATCAAGCATCTAGATTCCAGCTGTTAACCAAAAGTTTGCCTTTTGAATTTTTTGTGTACAGACCCTGTTCAGTGTTCTGAGGCCGGGGATCAAGAGAGGAACGAAGAAATGGAACGGCTCACTCTTAGCGTAGGCAGGACAGTGATTAGCATTTATTTCAAGGCGGCTGAGTGTCAGGGTGGCGATGAAGTGGAATTATACATCATGTAACTGGGGCCTTCGCTCGTCGGCGTTCGCCAGTGAGAAGTAACGTTAAACTTTCCCAAGCTTCTTAACTAAGAACTCAATGATATACCGGTTGGAACTCAGAGACTATAGACAGTACGTCTTTAAACTGCAGTGGTAGACTAAACTGACTCAATGCTCGATTATGCTGCTTGATAAAATTTGGCTGTGCCATTAAGATAATGAAAATGTTTACGACGGTTCAGTTATGATCTTGATCGAAAAGAATGTTTTCAAATATTATGGTGTGTATACCCGACCTTGTTTAGTTTTGTTTGTTGTTGGAGTTGCTTTATGTATGCTTTTTTGTTGTTCGATTACTTTATGCAAGCTTATTTCATAAAGGCAGTGGTCAAATGTACTTCAGTCGGCTCTACAACTTTTCTTAAGCAGAGCAGCACTTTGACTGGTTAATTTTCATTTTTCAATTATACTGGGATAGATTTCACAGTTTTTTATGACTGTCAATTTCAGTTTTGTTATGTAAGGCACAAGTTATATCATCATAGACAGCAGCATTCCTCAGCAGGAATACTAAAGGAGTATATCATGTGTTTGACAATATAATATAGTCACCTCACTTTAAAGAGGACGTCAGACAAGCTAAAACTTGCATAAATCAAGATAATAAGCCTTAGTCAAAAGCCGTTAAGTGCCACAGAATTCCCATTTAATCTTAGCTGTTGGTAAAGTAATTATTGTGTTATGAGCTATAAATGACCTAAGAATTAATATATTAGTCAACATGTCTTCTTGCAATAATACAGTTCATACACCGTTATAGTGAGCATATTAAGTAAGACGAATTAAAGTGAGAACACGCAGCCACTATCCGTAGCTCAAATACTCATAACAAGTCGCAAGGATAAGTAATACTAATTTACGCAGAAGAGAAACGTGATCGCATTTTCCTTGCATACTCTGTTAAAAAATTGCTACCACCATCAGTATACACCTCAAAGCTTAAAGCGCAATAAAACTAAAGGTGTTAGGAGCCCGCGGTTTTACAGCACTAAAACCAGGCCTTTCCTCTCTGAAACTCTTTATCTTCAGTAGTTTGCTCCTTGCTCAAGATAAATAACGAAACCGACACATAAGAAATACCGAGACAGAATCTTGACTCATATTTGTCCCAAGATCAAAATGAATGGAAAAATTATAATTCTATATTTATTTCACAATATGCATGATGCTCATTCTATCAAACGCACGCCGCTTACTCTACTTACATTTAGGTACCCTGCAGAAACTTTATTGACAACCATTAGCGTATTCTTAATTATTTAGATCAGAAGGGGTTCCAGACTTGATTCACGTACTCTTCTTTTAACTTACTAGCTGGAATGTTTTAATACTAGGTTTCTCAGTATTCTAATTTAAAATAATCAAAGTTGCTTCTTGAAAATGTTTTGTTAACAAACTAACGTTCTGAGCGAAGTCTAAAAATGTTAGCTAGTCTGAATAGCCACAGAAGAATAAACCATTCTACTGTATATAAAGAAAGGCTCATCATGCAATCCATGAGTAACTGAATGGGTAGCTTATTATATTGTCAGTCAAACTGTAAAGGTATTTTAGAGAGATGCATATAAACCTAGTGAGCTTTGAATAAACTAACCTGATTCGACTTACAGAAAGACTGGATAAAACTCCATGTTGCGGTGTTTTTCCTGAGACACTAAATGATCTGCTTATTCAGTGTAAAACTTATCACAACAGTCAGTCTTAGGTAGAGAAATGTTTACGATTTTAGTTTAACCGGACTGTACGGGCTGAGCTTGCCTATTAATACCAGCACCACTGGATTTCATCAGCGTCCGAAACTCGGCCCTTTGTATAGTATAATGAGCAGAAACAGGGGAAAAATATTGATAGTTTATATGTAATAGACAATTTGAGGAACTCATAGACACTGACGTTACTTGCGGAGAGTGAAACTACGGTAACCGAATCATGCCTAGTCAACAAAGGCTTTGCATTGCCATATATCGACCTATTTATCTAAGCTACACTAGGCAGTAAAATTTACCCTTTTGCAATTTTAATATTTCAAAGCCCTTACAAGTTTAAATTAAATGCCTACCTGTTTTTCCGATGCTTTAAACCCGGCTCTATACCGTGGAACCAAGAGCGAAAGGTGCAGCTACCCACTGCTATCACTGTTATGGCAGATTTATTGAAATGTGAACACATTGATTGCATTTTATGGTGAGTGCTGTCATGATTTTCTCCTTAAATGTTATGTTTACGTTCTTCGTGGATAACATAACACTCTTTTTAATGTATTCTCTAGGCGACTTTTCTCATTCAACAGTGTTCTGTCAAGTTTTTCCGAAACTGAGAGTTCAGTTAGAAACGTTTCCAGTACAAAACTATGAAAAATCATCATCTCTCATTAAATAGTAGGAAAGAAATCAGTCCTCGCGGCTGTAGTTGGCTGGAATTTCTTTGTTTCGGTGCTTCGTTTAGTTAGTTTTTATTACATTTCATTATAATTGTAAATAAGGTCGTTTCTCAGGGTTCCTACACAAAATCCAGTCTATAGATATCTCGTGAGATCTTCATATTCATTGCCTTGAAAATGAAATCAATACATGCCGGATTATACTTTTAATATCAACCTTCGCTTTAAATGCTCTCGTTGATCCTTAAGCTTCAAGTTGTGGTCGTGCTAGCTTTTACTTCAGCGTGTGTATAATAGTACGTCAACTCCAAGCATCTAGAAGTTAGATAATGCTTTAGCAAATGAGCGTCTCTAACTTATTCACTCTGCAGTACAGCGCTTTGGTCACAATTGTGTGGTTTGTTTTGGCTTATTGCAATGGAAAATTCTTCTGAACTGTCCTTCAAAAGAGTGACATTGGCCGAAATCACATTAAGGTACTAAACATTAACTTTGATTTTCAGGTATACTCATGCCATAATACTACGAGATATTCATCAGTTTAGGCTTAGAATCCACATATTAAGTAATTTTGAAAACAACAGTTTGTGGTCCTTTATATTTTGACTTCAGTATACCGCAATGCTTGTCAGTTTCGGTGTGAATTTCAGCGACTAAGCATCTTTTAAAAGTTAATGAATAATGCTGGTAAGTCGAACGACGAAAGAATTGTCGCTTATGCTGTGCAAAATGACCAAAATGGGCGAACTCCAAGCTTAACCATTGCCGGAATGACTCACTGGCCTTTACAGTAAAATTTCCTGCTAATCCTGAGTCAGAAGTATGACTGTTGTGGAACAGTGAAATTGAAATTATATTTCAATACTCAAGGACAATATTCACTTCTATCAGCTACTTTCTCTTCAGAAGTGAAAGGAAAAAAAACTCCCTTATCACTATAGAAGTAGAAGTTCAACGGTAAAAGCAATCAGTGATTTTTTAGTTACAATATATAAGTTCTATCCAAGACACACGGTTCCAACTGATCAAAGACTGAACACCGATTTTAGTAATTCAAGGTTGAACGAAGAAAAAAATCACACTTACAGGTTGCTTGCTCACTACCAAGGGACGAAAGGGAAAAGAATTCCGAAAAAGGGGGCGAATTCTCTTGCTCTCATTTCACTGTGATCGTACTTAAAAGGAGAGAAACGACAGTCGGAAGAAGAGCCGAATAACAAGGGGCTCGAAATACGCTCTTCCAACCGTTTATAACGTACTAGTCGAGTAAAACTAAACCGCCCCGTCTAGCTCCGTCTCCTTTGCTCAAAACGTTTTCTCGTACACCATCTCAGTCACTCACTCCACTGAATCAGCTCATGGGCCTCATCGGTACGTTGTGCGAAAAGTTTGCTAGTAATAAAGCTGTTGAAAACTAACATGGTTAGAGCTTCACATGCAGGAAAAGTACTGAAGGTTCGTGTTAATAAAATGCATTTTCCTCACATGACCTGTAAGAGAATTTCATTTTAAATATGTGAAAGAAATACAGCAAAAACAAACGGAATAAAGCCAACTGAAAGGCGTAAAGGACGTTTAATTTCTATCTGTTCTAGTCGCACAAATAAAGCAACAGTTTACACTCTTCGATTTTCGGTAATGGGATGAAACACTATTAATTTGCACCGCTGCGGCTGTGTATCTTAATTCAAGAACTTAATAAAGGACCTGAACCTGAAAGGTAAGACAAACAAAATTTGCTAACCTGGCAATCAAAGCTTAATTCACTAAACTGGCCTCGCACAATAAAACGGTTGGCTTTGATTAATCACGAAATGAAACTGTTTTCGATTAATATATAACTATTCGACGACCATGTTCCGACCGAGCGACTTGTCTTAATCCGAGTAACAATTCAATATTTCAAGTTAGCGCTTTTATTCCGGCCTATTTTTTTTTAAAAAAAATGAAACAAGTTTAGTATGAGCTACTTAATACATGGTTGTTTTATTAATACCTAATTCCAGTGCCCTGAGTGATCTGAGTGATCATGGCCATAGTTATTTGTTATCTGATCAGTAAATTTTTGCAAAGTTGGATAATTAATAGCAATGATAAGACTGAGGAGCTCACCGTACAAATAACGGTAGCTTAATTTGTGATTGTTTCTTGTTACTTCAATCCAATTTAGGTTGACACAATGCTAAGCATGAGATAACAACATGCATGTCCAGGCTAGTAATAAACTAATCACAATATTTCTTGAATACAGGCTACCTTTCCCTAGCTTTCAGTTTTAAATTCCTGATACTAAGTTTGATTTCACTCTCGGATGCTACGGATATGCTCTGTATTTAAACAGTTTATTCAGTTACTCCTAACAATTGAGAAAGAAATAAACTTTAGCGCTGTATACAAGTTGGAAACTGTTCGTGTTTCCTACTTTCGTGTTTTGTGACAGCGAAAAGAATGTCATTACCTCGAAAAATTACTAAACTAAAATCACTAAAGGTAACATTTAGAAACGACGACACGAAACCTGTACTTACAGATTGTTTGTCTCGCCTTCACAAGTCGAGTGCAACATAAGAAAATTCGTCTAATACCACGACCGCGTGGTCAACAGGCATGCCCGTAGCCCCCTACGTTATGAAAACTTAATTCGATAAGTTGCATCAGGTTACCAGGAAGATTCTATTCATTTCTATCACAGTGGGCTTCTGAGGAAAACTTCCTACCATACACTTTGAACTGAGAGGATTTGGATAAAGTAGCCGGCAATGAGTCCAAATAGAAATGAGAACGTTTGATGGATCAGTTGTAGTTAACTTCGCGTAACATATTTGACCATATTTGCATGCTAATAGATACACAGATCTCAATCAACCAATCAAACAACGACAGCTGTCAGCATGTACCGAATACAAACTGAAACTGATTGGGAAATAATAGAAGAAATGCACAACAACCAAAATAAAACGATCTTGAAATCCAGTCACCTATACATCGTTTCAAACTCCTATTAATAACTTTTGCAAAGGAAAAAGTTAAGGGCTACTAATTTTCATCAACAACTAATATGCTGTTGATCGTGCTCCAAAAACGATTCACTTTCACTACATCGCGTTACCAACGTAGACGCCAGCTTCATAGGACGGAGAATATTGGATAATGATAAATTGCGGTGGACTGTAACGAAGTGCATTTGAAAAATGAGAGTCGAAGAGCTGCCAGTTTAGGATTGAGATGAACCAGACTTAAGAATAAAAGCTTCAACAGTTTGAAAGTATTCCGGTAAGTTTCTTGACCGGAGAGAGAATAGAAGAGAAAATGAATGTTCACTTCTCACAGTAGATGTAAATGTATTTTAACAGAGAAATTTTAAAGCATCGCGTTCACCGCAAATTGTACCACGTGACCAAGTTTTCCATTTATTTATCGTTTTTAGTTCTTTATAACCACACGAAAATCGTGCAAGGCAGACTGTGTCGACGCCTCATCCCTGTAGAGATACTCGTGGATTCAAAAAGGCCAAACGTTCCGCTGAACTTAAATGTAAAATACAGTAATTATAAATTTATGTGCGAAACCAAGATAATTATTTAAGAAAGCGAAAAAAACGTGCGACCAGAAAGGTTGGCACAATGCTCAGTGAATGCGATAAACTTCATCGTAGATTGAGCTGATCACGTCATGAAGTGGGGGTCGAGCAGGCTTTCATTTGCTGTCACTTACGATTCTGCTGCATTCTCAGTTCTTCTAGGAAAGGTACTTTAAAATAAGGAGCATGAAACACGTTATTGCAACGGCTTCACACGAACCCGACGTTAATTAACCCACCTTGCCCATTTACACATATATAGTGGGTTGCCTTGTTCAGCATTACACTGGTTTCACTGACTTAGATAATTGTATTAGATCCTGTCATGTGCCACAAGGTTGGCCCACAAGTAATGCACTGTTAACATCTAAGACATTTAACACAGGATTTAAGAAAGTATAATTTATCTAGATCTACGATATACAATCGTAAGCACAACGTTACTGGAAAGGCTGTTAGTCTGCTCAGAAAACAGAGAATATTACATTAAATACTGTGAAAAGAAAAATGCAAGAACAAATCAACAAAACTAGAAAAACACTGGAGCATTTTCAAAGTTTTCAAGGGCGTGAAATATACCTTTTTTTCTTCATGTGCTATAAGCATAAAAAGTGACCCAAGTTGTATTCATTTTGTGTTAACATTCATGTTGTATTCCATGACTCAAGTTTGAATTCTTTGATTCACTTTCTATTATTATCTTGTAACTACTTAAGGACTATACTTGCTCATGGACCTGGATCACAGCATTGAAAACTAAAGTTTGATCCTCTCGGAACAGTGCACTTTGTTAACCTAACTTAACTTGTTTTTTATTATTATTTTATTGTTTACTGAAGAGGAACTCAGGCTTTTGTGCTCATGTTGGCCGCGCGGATGCACCACCAGTCTTACCAAACACGAAATTTTTTCAAACATCTATTCCAGCTGCTATAGCCGATAGTTAAACCAATGCCTTTTGACTTTTTTCTACAGAGCCCATACAGTGTTCCGACAGGGAAAACAGAGGAATAGGACGTTACAGAACTTTGGGCGATGCCAGCGCAGGTAGGATCAGCATGATTTATTTCAAGGCTGGTGGCGATGTGGAATTTTACTTTATTTGACCGGGGCCTTCAACTGTTTCGTCGGCTTTCGGAAGTGTAATAAAACAGAATATGAGACTTTCCCTTGCTTCTTTAATAGAACTCAATCATAAACCTGGAATAGAACTCAGAGCCTAGACAGAATATGAAACTACTAATACTAAAAGGTCACGCAAAGCTCAATTATACTGCTTGTAAAATGTAGCTATGACAATCATATAATAAAATATTTTTGGACTGTATATATATGACCTTGCTCGAAAAGAGTTTTATTGTATCCCACAGACAATTGAATATATGTAAGGCTTTTATACCCCGACCTTGCTTTTGTTAAAAACGTTTTGTTAGAGTTACTTATTATAAATGCGTGGTNTAACCTAACTTAACTTGTTTTTTATTATTATTTTATTGTTTACTGAAGAGGAACTCAGGCTTTTGTGCTCATGTTGGCCGCGCGGATGCACCACCAGTCTTACCAAACACGAAATTTTTTCAAACATCTATTCCAGCTGCTATAGCCGATAGTTAAACCAATGCCTTTTGACTTTTTTCTACAGAGCCCATACAGTGTTCCGACAGGGAAAACAGAGGAATAGGACGTTACAGAACTTTGGGCGATGCCAGCGCAGGTAGGATCAGCATGATTTATTTCAAGGCTGGTGGCGATGTGGAATTTTACTTTATTTGACCGGGGCCTTCAACTGTTTCGTCGGCTTTCGGAAGTGTAATAAAACAGAATATGAGACTTTCCCTTGCTTCTTTAATAGAACTCAATCATAAACCTGGAATAGAACTCAGAGCCTAGACAGAATATGAAACTACTAATACTAAAAGGTCACGCAAAGCTCAATTATACTGCTTGTAAAATGTAGCTATGACAATCATATAATAAAATATTTTTGGACTGTATATATATGACCTTGCTCGAAAAGAGTTTTATTGTATCCCACAGACAATTGAATATATGTAAGGCTTTTATACCCCGACCTTGCTTTTGTTAAAAACGTTTTGTTAGAGTTACTTATTATAAATGCGTGGTCGTTTCACATTTGACAAGGCAGTGTTCAAAGTTTACTTCAGTCTGCTTTAAACCATTTCTTAAATAGAGCAGAAGAATACTCTTGGAGGTCATACTGGGATAGATTTAACAGTTTGTTACGACTATAAACTTCTTTAGATTTGAGATGAGCCAGAATTAAAAATTAAACGCTGCATATTTTGAAAGTATTCGGTGTACTTGAGGACCTGACCGGACAGAGAAAAGGAATGTTCATTCACCCGGAATGCATATAGATCAATCGCTTTATCTCTGGCTCAAAGGACACTATCTTTTGAAAGCTACAACAACACTTATCTCAATTTTCCTAGAAAAAGTAAATGATCAGTTCAAATGACACAATTTAAAGAAAATTCTTTTCTGAATTGAGACATAACAGGAAGTACGTTTTTTACCTACCTTTGTGACAGGTTTTAACTTTCACAATGAACGCGCACCGAAATCACGGCTTATGGTATGCAGGCTGATATCGTTGACTGATAAGCAAAGCTGGTGCTTCAGCTAGTCCAAAAGAGTGCATGCGCGCTTGTTATTGTATAGTAATCTACTGGCTACCGGCTCTATCAGTTCTTAGTAGAATTCGCCTGGAACTCAGCTCCTCCTCCCCTGACACATGCTCACTACTGAAAATCAAGATGGGCGGCTTCTTCCATTTTTTATCTGTTCTCCAAAGGATATATTTACGTGCAAGGATGACATGTCGACGCCTCTTCTGTAATACTCGTGGAATCAATGAGAAGAAACTTCTAGGTGAACTAAAATGTACGTAAAATTCAGTAATTCTTCAAATAGTGATATAAGCCATGCTTGTGGCCTCTGAGGGATAAATAAAAATTCGAAATGAACGCGACGAAAACGTACAACTAAAACGGTTGGCAAAGTGTGAGAAACTTCATTCTCAGTTGATCTTTAGCCAGCAGTAGTCCGATCGTGCCGAGAAACGACTGCGAAGGCTTTCACTTGCTGTCAGTTAAGGTCGGTCAGTTCGTCTAAAAACTTTACTTCTAAGTAAGGGGTATGAAACAGGCTATTCAGGTATATATAGGCTTAAAACGCAACCAAGTTAAATTAACCCTCCCTGTCCATTACACATATAGTAAGTTGCCTCGTACCACACCATCACACACACTTCACTGATTGAATCCGAGTTCCCAGTGCAAGTGGACTAGATTTCAGCGTGCGATGACGGAGCCCTAAAAAGAATAACGAACTGTTAACTAACAGACCCCATTTAACATGGCTGAATTAAAGTAAGAACATCTAGACTTACACGCACGAAAAGCACAATGGTAAGGCTGTTTATCTACTCATAAAATCACATTAAATAAATTGGGGCGAAAAAATATAAAACTAAGCAAAAACAAATCTACGATGCTGCAAAAATCTGCAATGCTACTAAAAAAAACCAAGTGTTTGCAAAGTCTTTAAAGGCTCAAAATACATTTTCATCCATGTGTCTCCGTTTTCTTAAAGTGTAAAATTAAGCATAAGAAGACCGAAGTTATAGTTCTCTAGTTGTGTTAATATTTATGTTGTGCTAAGCACTGAACTTTTCTTTCACTTTCCACTTTAAACCCTTGTAACTAATAAACTAAAAAGACTCAGTAGACTTGTTTTTTCTTATGGCCATTAATACACAGCATGCGAACTTCTTTAGGAGTAGTACACTTAATTCAATGATCCAAACCGCAGTTAAAATTAACTCAGCCTTTTGTTGTGCAGATGCTCAAATTGAGTCTTACCAAAACGAAATTTTGATCAAGCATCTAGATTCCAGCTGTTAACCAAAAGTCTGCCTTTTGAATTTTTTTTGTACAGACCCTGTTCAGTGTTCTGAGGCCGGGGATCAAGAGAGAAACGAAGAAATGGAACGGCTCACTCTTAGCGTAGGCAGGACAGTGATTAGCATTTATTTCAAGGCGGCTGAGTGTCAGGGTGGCGATGAAGTGGAATTATACATCATGTAACTGGGGCCTTCGCTCGTCGGCGTTCGCCAGTGAAAAGTAACGTTAAACTTTCCCAAGCTTCTTAACTAAGAACTCAATGATATACCGGTTGGAACTCAGAGACTAGACAGTATGTCATTAAACTGCAGTGGTAGACTAAACTGACTCAATGCTCGATTGTGCTACTTGTAAAATTTGGCTGTGCCATTAACATAATGAAAATGTTTACGACGGTTCAGTTATGATCTTGCTAAAAAGAATGTTTTCAAATATTATGGTGTGTATACCCGACCTTGTTTAGTTTTGTTTGTTGTTGGAGTTGCTTTATGCATGCTTTTTTGTTGTTCGATTACTTTATGCAAGTTAATAAACAAGGCAATGGTCAAATGCTGTACTTCAGTCGGCTCTACAACATTTCTTAAGTAGAGCAGCACTTTGACTGGTTAGTTTTCATTTTTACATTATACTGGGATAGATTTCACAGTTTTTTATGACTGTCAATTTCAATTTTGTTATGTAAGGCACAAGTTATATCATCATAGACGGCAGCATTCCTCAGCAGGAATACTAAAGGAATATATCATAGTTTTGACTAGATAATACGTCACCTCACTTTAAAGAGGACCTCAGACAAGCTAAAACTTACATAATTCAAAATAATAAGCCATAGTCAAAAGCCATAAAGTGCCACAGAATTCCCATTTAATCTTAGCTGTTGGTAAAGTAATATTTATTGTGTTATGAGCTATAAATGACCCAAGGATATATTAGCCAGCATGCAAATAGACAAATTAAGATTTTTTAACATTGTTTGCCCAAATATGCGCAAACAAATACTTTTTTGGATCATTCCAAACAGAAGGACCAGGGAAGCAGTATGATTTTGCTTGTTTGTTTTTCTAACCAAATATAATGATTCGAGAACTGAACCGATCTCCAATAAGACTGAGCTCGCCTGTGTGTACATCATGTCACTGAGACCGACCAATTCAGGCTACAGAATTTCGTCCAAAAAAAACTCTAAGGCTCGGATAAGTTTAGTCATCTCTTGCATTGAATACTTGTAGAGAGAAAAGGGCGCTAGCTGGTTTCATGGTGTGTAAAGTTTCAAATGTGTTTATGAAATGTGATAATTTAAAAAAAGTTCATTTTACTGACTGCTTTCACAGCATAAGACAAATAAAGTCATGATAATTTCACATTTTGCGATTTATATACCGCATTCGGAGCCAAAAGAAATAATTATTTAGTTCTCAAAATGTTTACTTCCATGTAAACTACGTAATGAACTGCACTGGGGTGAGCACTGATTTTGCTCCGCACAAACTCAGTTAAGTTCGGACCGTGCAGTAAATTGATGGAGACCTGAGTTTAAACGCTGTGCAAGATTACTCAAGATGCTACGACTTTTAACCATACGTAGCGACTGATGTGGATGTACTTTTTAAATTTCACTTCAGAAATCGCAGTAAGGTGTGTGCTGCCAGTGCTGGCTGTTTGATCTAAACTTTTCAGACTGTGCACTATCCTATACCTGCTGTGCATGACCGTTGACTGTGACAAAAAAAAGACAAAACAAACATCTTGTAGACGCGAAGCGAAATTATATCCAGTCAAGCAACTTTACTAACTTAACCTATTTTCTTCTTTGAAGTGGAGGAACTCAGTATGACTCTGGACCGAAGCAGCGTTTAATACTAAAAAAGAAGGAATCGACACAGAGACGAGACGAACAAACATCCAATGGACAGAACTTTTAACAAGGTTGCATGACGTACGAAAGTATAAAATATCACTTTTACATGGGCCTCTTGGTGTAATCCCTATAGAATCAGGAGACGAAATTGCAGTTAATCCACTCAATAGTAATTTGAAAGGATTTATTTTCCCTTAAAACTGAAAAAGGAAGAACCGCTATTGCACTCGAAACAAGTTTATTATAAGTGTTTGTCGTGTTTCGATGGTGAAAAAAAGACATTGATTTAAGACTACTAAGCATCAATTTAAACAAAACAAACGAAAACGTACCACAAAAACGGCGACACAAATCAATTGCACGTACAAACTGTTTTCTTCGCGTTAGATGTTGACTCAGAGGAACACAATATTTGGTCCAAAGTCTACATACTGGTGAAGACGACCACGTGCTCAAGACATCCCATAATACCCAGGATAATACGTGTCATCCCGGCATTGTCGATCGAAATTGAATGAATTGGTTCTGTCTCACTGACTCAACATCAGCCATTTCGAGTCGGTTGAGTGCCAATTGTTTGTTCCCATTACCACTGCGCACGTGATTCATATCACAAGGTAATGCTTCGTGTGAGAAGAAATTTATAAAGCAAAAAAGTAAAACTTCTCATGAGTGATACTTTGGTTTTTATTTAGATGGACATAATCAGGACAGTAGCTCTATGGAATGCTCTCCATTTGACAAAGCTTGCAGTTTAAGTTTATAACGAAACTGCTATATACCAAATTTGTTTTGCACGCACTTGATTATGCGATCAATTATTCTACAAAATGGAGAGTGCTCGGACTTACATACTACTTTCACGGTAGGGCTACACGAAGTCAATGTAATGAAATCATCTGGAGACATAGACTACGAGTAGTCCTCATTTTTCCTCAGGCATAGTAGAGCGAGCGAAACGCGAGCGTGCATGAAATCACCCCACGCGAGAAAGGCGAGACGTGGCTGGGAGTTTCTCTCTCTCACCGGGGCGTCTCGCCTTTCTTGCCTTTCTCGCTTGAGATGATTTTCACGCGCGCTCGCGTTTCGCTCGCTCTACTATAGATAAAGCTGGTTCTGCAAAGGTAATAAATCTTGGCGTCTAAAAAAAAGTAACCGTAACTACTAATAACAGAATACAAGCGGGTTTTAATTAAACCCGGCGAAATCAACTCATAAATTAATCGGATGCACAATCACAGACAATCAGAAAAAATACTCGCCTCTTTAAAAATGTTCAAAACCTTTTATTCCACCTTAAACTGACGGAATGATCTGTTTTTCCTTTAACATTGGTTGTTCTGAATCCAAAGTAATTTTCAAGCGACGAAAAAAAGCAAGCATGTCAAATAAAAATGCTTTACAGGGAGCAAACGTTCGCACCTCGTGCACTTCACTCAGAACTCCAGGAACAAAGAAACACAGTCAACGCACAGAAAGCCCGCCTTGAGCCTGCGGTAAGGGATGCGCAGAAGCTTGCGCAGAACGTTTTTCCGCCCTGAAACTGGAGACAGGGTTCAACACTTTTATCTTACTGCCTAACCGCGGCAGGGTTAGGTCAATCTGGGAGATAACTGGTCTGCAGAGCGGGAGGTCGCTGGTTTTATACCTGGGATGGGAAAATTACTCAGGTTATGAATATAACTGAAGAAAGAAGCTACTACCCTTCCGCTACAAACGGCTAGGTGCTCTGGTGACCACGAAGAAATGTTATTCCCGTCTCAGAGAAGGAGACGTATAAAAAGAGTTTTGAATTAGAACTCGCGTGGTTAATACGTTGACTATAAAATAAAGAACTTTTTGTTAACATTTATCAACCTTACGACGTCGGTGCAGGCCAGTCCAGTCCAGTTCTTAGGCATTTATGATATTTATAGCGCATTTTCCGCGCAGTCCGGTGAGTCTTTCTCGGTGACGTCACAGCTCACTGTAGAGTCATGGTTTGACCTTCATCGCGGTTAAACGAGAGAAACATGCAAAAGTTAATAAGTAAAGTACTCAGTTAAAACACTGTTTACTAAACTTTTTAAAAGTTTACTAAAAAAGTGCTAGGTCTTTGAAAACAGAAGCTGGTTGTTGTTGTCGGCATGATTTTTCAGCATGATTTTACTCGGGCACAAAGCGTTTTGAACACCTTTTTGAAACCCTAAGGGCCAGTTATTTTTACGGAGTTTGGCTAGTGTTTGACAAAAGCGCGTTCTAAGCCATTTTCAGTTTGCCGAACGCTTTAATAATTTATAAAAACACCATTTATCGTGAACAGTTTATGAAATCATATGCCGTAGACAAGAAAAGCATTTGTCTTCTTATAATAATCCACTATGGAAGAGATTTCGAGGTCCAAAGATTTCCTAAACCGCGGTCTAAGTCCGACCCTAAATTTTTAGAAAATGAAAAGAGGGTTACTTAACGAATTAATTTATAAACCTTTTCTCATATTAACATTTACTAATAAATGAAATTCCAACAATCAAAACCAAAAAACAACTTAGAAGTTTAACCTTGGTGGAGGTTTGACCAAGCCGAGCTAGATTGCCCTAGAACGCCTAGGGGCTGTGTGGCCGCGAGAAGGCTTCATCTACCTAAGTCTTTATCGCTGAAAGTAAAAAACGGGTTATTGCCTCAGAGTGCCAAGGTTCTTAATTCCATCATTGCGACAAAGCCTTTTGGATCCAGACTTTTTTAAAAATAATTGTACATAATTATTTGGACGAGGTTGAGCAAAATATCGTGATTTGTCAGTGGCGAGCAGATCAATTATTTGCCGAAGCCGAAGGCTGAGGCATATAATTGATCTGCGAGACACTGACAAATCACGATATTTTGCGATAACCGAATTCAATAATTGTTTTATCATTCGATCACCGAGTTTGTTTTTTTAATGAATATCCTCGGGAAGCGAAGCCAATTCTGCCATTTTCACGCGAGAGCGATCGGAAGAAGGAGAAATGCACGGTTTCCTTTACGCACGTGCAGAATATTATTTGCAGCCAAACACAGTTGGAAGGCATTGCGCATGAGCACACCATTATTTGTAGGCAGTTATTTGCAGGTCACGTGGTGGGCCCTCGGCCAATGAAAAGGAACAAACATTTGCATCGAATAATAATTTCTTTTATTTTGTTGTTGTTTCTTTTCTTTTTTCTTAATACACTTTTGCAATAGATCCTAATAGGACAGAGAGGAAGTCTAGAACGTTGACCGCGGGATACCTTAATAACAAAAAAGTTATTTAAAAAAAAAAGTGATGGAAAAGTGTTGTAAGAAAGTAGTTTTGTAGTTTCAGGATGGTTTTTGTAATATATGTCTGGTCACACAGCTACTAGTACCTTAGAAAATGAAGAACATTGAGCGGGCAATATTATTCTATTCAAAAATGTTCGGTATCTCGTCGTTACTTCTTGGCCCATTATTTTTCTGCACAGGTTAAAATGTGCCTAAAAGAGCCGGGTTTCTTTACCTTTTACTTAGAAATTCTTGAAAGTTTTATTGAGATACAGATTTTGATAACTCACCGCTTATGATCATTGCAATCTAAGCCAATGTAAACAACCCCTTGATATGAGAAGATTATCGGCCCACAGAATTGAACTTTCGTCGAGTTTGTCAAACTGTGCTCATACCCCGAAAGGAAGAACACAAATTGATTTGCATGCGTGCTAAGTTATTCCTAGTAAATACGTCCACAAACTATTGTAGAATCGTCCAAAATAGTTAGTCCATAATATCTTTGGCGCGCTAAACTTTTCCAGCAAACAGCTTAAGAATCATGCACGGCTACATTTGGCAGCTATTTTAGCTATTCCTGATACTAGAATCCTCTATTATTTCCCAAGATACAAAGATTTTGTGGGTTTTTACTGAAGTCCACTTGGCTTAGCTTTGTTGTTGACTGTTTTCTCCAGCAATTATGAGCGTTTGTATACTCATCGGAAAATGTGGCTTTCAATGACCTCATCTTTTGTACTAGCTAATCTGATAGACTCCGATGAATTCTCGAGTAAATAACAGAATGTCCTTTTCAAAGTTTCTAGGAAAGTTTTGTTGCCTTAGAATGCAACTGTAAACCATTTCCCATTTCAATGTCTTCCAAGTGCAAATCTTCGTTTAACTTGGTCTGAAGACGCATTACTGTTGCCTGTTGACCAGTCTAGTTGAATTAGGGATACAAATCAATCAAGCAATTGAAGCTGTGTCAACAAATGCTATTTCTGTAAACGACCACAAGCAGTTTTAAATCGAGACAGGCGGGCTCTGAGCCTTCGTGGTTTTCTTGGCAGGTTTGTAAACAAAAAATGGCGGTTGATTATACATCCATGAGCCTTGCTGTTGTTCTGCGTCTGCCCCAGGGTCCTGTGATTGTGCCTCCTCGCTTTTACTTGGCTTGAATGAGCCCGTGTATCGATGATTCCAGCGGTAGAGAAGGAACACGGTGATAAGCACAACCGCCATGGCTGCTAACACTATAACAATAATGACCCAGGCTGACACGCCTTTGGATCTGGGGGTAGGGTTTTGAAGCTGTCTTGCTACCTGATTCTGAGTTTTTGCAGTTGTTCCCGTAGGAGTTGGTGAGGAAACAGTGGTGCTTTTGGTTGTGTCTTTTAAAAGGAAAAAGGGCAGAAAAGATTTACTTAGTATAGTTATTATGGCTATTAAATATGCTTCTGCCCCTAGTTGTTCAAACGTTAGATAGCGCTATCCACTAAACATGCTATACAGTGGCAGGAGCCCATAACCCGGAGCGAGCAACTCCCCATACTAGGCCTATGTCAGTACGTTTTTACGGTCCGGTTTATTTTTAGACAAATTTTGGGGCCAAAACCGTTCTAAAAATAAACTAGTCCGAGAAAACGCCGTGACACGAGCGCATGAACCAGGGCGTAATAAGCTAGCCTAGCTTATTACGCCCTGGCATGGACGTTGCTCGCAACAAATCGTTCACACACATCGAACATCGTGTCGGAACGGTTTGCCGAGAGAGTTTGGTGAACAAAATCCCAGTCCTCACTCCTGAATATTTACTTCCGTCTCAGTGGGTTCCAGTCATCTTTCTGGTACTTATTTACTTCCCCTACGGTCCAGATTCCTTTTCACACTACACCAAAGTGTGGCACAGAACCTATCCGATATGTGACGCTCCACTTTCGAAATTGTCGCGGCGCAGAAATCGCGCCGAAATCAGAGTTTTTATGTGTAAACAGAAGCCCTACCTAGTATGATTTTCGTGCCGGCGCAAGAGCTATTGGTTATAGTGAAACATAGCCCTGGACGGCCTACCTTTTGTTGGTGTAGTTGTTGAAGGGTTGCATGACGGATCTAAGTCATCATCATCTGGTGAGCACCCTGACGTCGGGTCTGGTATGCACTTGCGTTCCGCTGATTGCAGTAAGAAGTTCGTCATCGCTGCAGTTCCCACTCCACTCGGATCTGATATTATTTTAAAGTCTTTTCTTTGTCGTTTCAATGCGTTATCTATTACATTGATTTGCTCAAAGTGAAACTGTTTAAGAAACCCCCTAAAAAACAAAGGTTTAGCTTTTGCAAACACCAGTTTGTCAGAAGGGCCGCCACCGTAGTAAATGACGTTAGATGTGTTGTTGTTAAGATTCAGCTTGAAATGCGAAGTTGAGGACTCACTGCTTTTTCTGAATTTTTCTTTGTCGATGATGACAGTTAAGCGCGCCTTTCTGCGACGAACTTCCACGTGATGCCAGCAGCTGTCCGAAAGATAATTTCCTTTGTCGAACACAACTATAGAACCTGCAATATAAAGACACGTTGAACAAGTGATTGTGCATTCGTAAGAAAAAAAGCCCTAATCTCCTTCCCTTGGAATTGAATTTCTTGCAGGTTTTAGGTTTTAGTTATTAGCCAGGTGAGCTGATTCAGTTTTGGCGAGCTGTGCGAAGCTAAAGAGGGCAAGCCCCACGGCAGACTCAGCGGGGGACGGAGGATTTTGTGATAGACAGTAGTAATATAAGCGCGATAGCGCCTATCAGGACTGCGAACGGCGTATTTTTCCAGAGAGTTTCGGGCGCATGCTCCTCCGGGAAAATTTTTGAGATTGAAGTTCTCTGAGATGCAAGCTTAGTTTATTACAAAGTGCGATGTACAGTTATTACAAATTGCGACAGGTATTACAATCTGCGATGAATTTATTACAAATTGCGATTATTTTTACAAATTGCGACAGTACAAGACCTCGACAACTGACGTCGCTTATCAATGTTCAACCGTTGAGAGCTCTAGGGAAATTTCCACCCAAAATGAGCGATCAGATCATCCGAGAATTTCCGGCTGTCGCTCACGGCCGTCCCAGTGACAGACCTCAGTCTGCCGTGGTGGGCGCCCAGACGAGAGCTATGCTGCCCACACGCAGCCCGTCACTTAGTTTCCCCTTTTCTGGAGAGTTTTCGCACAGAGGGAATTGAACTGGAAGAGATTCGTATGTGAATCAACCCAACATAACTGCCAATTGTATTCAAGTTTTTTAGCCACATCTCTCCTAGCCCAGCCAGTGTACAGACAGCCTCCCCCCTCCCGCGATTTTCTCTCCGCGATTTTTTTTTTGGTGGGAGGGGGCATCTGTGTACAGGTAGGAGCAAAACCTCAAAAAGAAACACCGTTTTCCTCAGCGAGGAACAGGCTTTAAATGTGTATAATAAAAAGAGGTACTCGATAGCCCTGCTGTAACTCGGGGGTGACTATAAGACCTCGCACTCATACACCCGGCAGTGTACTGATAGGGTCTCTATTATTTTATATACTGTAATCGTTTATTCTTTTCTCACATAGCTTTTCCAACCCTGATGAAGACTAGTTCTGTCTAGTCGAAATATTGGGAAAATAAATTTGTGAACCTTAGCCATCCGATCAGCCTTGCCTTTATTTTAAGTCTAATTTTACCTCCACCGACGTCTGCCTCGACTCGTAAACTTCCATTTACGAGTTCCGCCAACAAATGGTCTTTGTCACTCCCCATGTAGAAGAATACGCCGTTCTTCTTTTCTGTTAAAAACATAAAATGTATTGTGTTCCTTTCTGTGTCCATAAAGGGACTGTCATTACTCAGCGTTTGAGAAATATATCCCCCGCTCTCTTGAGGAACATTCAGGTGGGCAGTATGGGAACCTAAAAAACAATTATATAAAACAGATTAAACAATAATATATTTGTTCTATACTTTAACAAAAAACGGAATGATGGAAACGATAGGTATGTACAACAAGTCCTAGGTAGAACTAATCTCACTGGCGTTTATCTTTAAAATTAATGATGTTTTAGATTCCTATTCTTTTTAATAGTACTATGTCATGGTGAGTTCCACATGTTTTGATCATTGCTGAGCTAAATTTTTGAAGTCTTCTATGTCATCTTTTGTCGTACTGGGAGCTTGAGATGAAATTTCGGTCGTCCTCAGATGTGAGCTTAAATTTGGCCGTTTGTGGTTCCATGGCAATTACTAGCCGAGGCTGACGATATAGAGGGTTTTCACTCACGTGGCCAGCATCTATGCAACTGTTTATTGAAACAAAAATAAGCGTTTGCATAACAAAAGAGTTCAACTCCCACGGGATTGGTTTGGAACACCAATATGGCGGACGTCACATCATGTGAAAACGGTCTAAATAATGGGCACTTTCAGTCCTGGAAAAGAGCTTTAAATTTTGCTTTACACTTACGTAACAGCCGTCAACCATCAGCTTCTTCCGCTGAGAGTAACCTTGAGCGGCTTTCAGGTTATACACGTTCACACGCGATACCGGACGAATTTTCGACCGGCTGAAATATTTATGCGGACACTTCGTTCAAACGGAACCGTTCGATATTTTTGCTCTGTTCACATGGACCTGACGAACCAGGTGGAATTTTTAACTTTGTCTGAGGTTTTACCATCTGTCCAAGTACTATTTAAGCAATTCCAAAATCGACTCTCCCAGCTGAGTTTCTTTTGTCTGGGTGACCTCAGTTTGTGTGGTCCTTTACAGTACAAAAATTTAGACGGTTAAGGTGTTTACATAGCGCCGGTCAAATTTGCCTTACAAAAATTTAAACGGTGGTGGTGTTCACATTGCGCTGGTCAAATTTTCCGCGGTGACGGCTAAAAATTTGTCCTAAATTCAAGCGTTCGAATTTTTAAACGGCTAGGCGTTCAAATTAGCGTGGCTCCGTGTCAACAGAACGAACGAATTTTCGACCGCTCGAAAATACATCCGGTATGCCGTGTGAACATAGCCACAGTAAATAAAGACAAATTTTAAACTTTGTCTTACGATTTTCGCATCTATGTCCTTCGAAACCAGTCGCTGAACAATCACATTCTGAATGCCATATTCTGTCAATGCATCGACCACCATTGTAGCATCCCACTTTGCTACAAGCTCCGAGGCAGGCCTGGCTCTGTGCGTTAGCTGGTTTCCGTAGCCTTACTTTATCCAGCTGACCACTCGATGGTCGATAGACCCTAATATCACCTATACATCCTTCAAAATTGGCGACACCGAAGTTACTAAATAAAACAAGAATGACAAGTTGTGTTAATTAACAGTAGTCAGCTCCAAATAAAATCCTATTTCTCCTTTAAGCTTTTGGAAGATCATAACAGTATAACCGGTAATATTTTTAATTATTTATTTCCGCGTGAATTAAACTAACAAAGTGCTCGCACAGTAATCATTCATTTATGATCATTTGTCAAATGAAAATTTTATAACGTTTGCTCCTGAAACTGACAGCTTAGTAGTAAATAAATTGTAAAATGAGTTGGTTTCGTTCCTTACTGCGAGCAAGTCTTGTGATCATTCAATTAAACAACGCCACGATGACGTACTTTTCGTCTTCTTCGCGGTCAGGGATTTTTAATTATTTTCGTGAATTTGGAGGAAGATAGAAGCTTGACTTTCTGAGAACCGACAAAACAGGAAAAGAAACCGAACAAAAATAAATCATGTTAAAAATATCATATCTACTTTTACCGAAATAATTTTGTATCGGAAAAATCCGTCTCCGACAAACTGAGCGGAATTCCAGCGATGAACAAGACGTTGTACGCTCGAGTCTGGTCAGATGCACTCATTTGAAATGGAGTTTCTTCAGTGTGTACTACGCCATTCTGATCTTTTATTGAAAAATGTACTTTTTTCACATCAATCTTTATCCTGACTTTGTACCATTGCGAGTCAGCAAAGTTATGTTTAATTTCACGCTCTTCTATCCCTGGACCAAGCCTTGCACGAAATTTGGCAAAACCGCTACTTGTCAGGAACAGACACATAAAGTAGTAATCTGCGCCCTTGACAGCATCGTCCTGATAGAAAAGCAAAGCTTTTTTCTTTGCACTGGCTTGAAAGAAAAACTGTAGCGTCGCATTAGGAAACCAGCTCCACGGGTCGTACTCGGCGTAAGAACTACCAGAAAACCGTAAGCCTGCACTTCCATCGACACTTGCCTGATGTAAACCTACCACAAACAGCAATACTATAATGTTTTCAAACATGGCGTGTAAAACCGAACCAAGTGAAATAGCTAACAGAAGAGATTTCTATTTGACATCCGCAGAACTCTTTCTCACCGACAAGAACGTGCATTGCGTTTTAATAGCCATCAAAAACAAGCTGATTCGCTAGTTGAAGTCAACTTCAACCACATTCCCGCTATCTGTGTTTATGGCCACCTCATTGGTGAACGCAGTTTTTTGGTCTTATCTTTATACAATCGAGAAGGTCAAAAATTCGAAGAGCTCTCCACGTAGAAAGGTAATAAAAAATTGAAGTCAATGACGACTGGCATTTGGCATTTACCTTGAAAAGACACACGAATCGTTGATGCAACACGTGAGAAAGGGTTCATTTTCAGCTGCTATTTGTATTTAATTCAAATTCTTTTTGCTCGTTCTTTAAAGTTTTAAGGGAACACAACTTGTAGTGTTGTAATGTAATTATTTTACATCCACTGATATTCCACTTCTGTTCTTTAATATCCCTGAACTGTCGCTCATTAACACAAAATATGGAGCCACGCATGAATACAAGTTATTGTTATAGAGTGATTTGTTATTGTTCTCCAAAATAGCCTGAGGACTGCAAAAGACTCTCTTACGTATGCCGCCGAGATTTTTTACGTGTCATTGTTTACAAATATCTGTTAATTTTCTGTTCATTTTGTGAGTCACAACCATTAAAAATTCACAGCTTGATAGAAATAATACTGCGCGAGTTTTGTATTTGCAAAACCTTCCAAATTATAAATAGAAACAACTTCAGCTTACATGTAAAACGTGTGTTGATTTTTAGACCTTCCGCGATTAAACAGGATGTTGTAAAAATAGGAAGAAACGGGGAAAAACGAAAAAAAACAAAGAAACAGAGAAACGCGGGAAATGCAACCTATGAAATAACCATTCATATGCGTAACGCCTTCTGTTTTTTTTTTCTCTTTTAAAAAGGTCTACACGTTAAAATAATCATGAACATTCTCACGCTGGTAACACTGTTGCGAATTTTGTGGTGGCGAAACGTTTTGTATTTCTGAATGTGCGGTGAAGCTCGGCGTCCGCTCTATTAATACGGTATTACCACGAGTTTCGAGAAAGCGATTTTGCCTAGAGCCTGAATTAATCAAAAATGTACACGAACAGAAAGCCATTAGTCTTTTAAATATAGTTAACTTGTGAGCAATAATCTAAAGTGGCAATGGACCATAGCTCTACGAAGGAGAGGAGGGTCAATTTGTGATTGGTGAATTTTGGTCAACTTTCCGGGCTTTTTATTCTGATAAATTTGGAAACCACTTGATCCAAAATTTATTGTAACATTTCTTACTTTGCATGTTAATAGACGTCGTTACAAAAGTTACAAATCTTCCATTTTCCTCCATTTATATTATCAGTAAAGAGAAAGACGATTGAGAAACGTGAAACGGCTGTTTTAGGGATGGAAATGTTTCTTGCATTAAGCTAGTTTATGACTGAACATTTTTGCAATAAAAAATGTCAAGCTTTTTTCAGATGGCGTCATTTTGAATTGTAAACTTTGGTTCATTAATCCTTCATCAACTCTTTGTCAGGGCTCAAAAGTTTTGTCTGTCTTTTAATGCCCTTTTTAAAAGAAAATTAATTTGTGCGTGATATTGGAAAAACGATGACTGCATGCGATTATAATATATCTATTAGACAATTCCGGCACCTACTATTTTTAAACACGTTTTAGGAACCTTAAGGGTAAAACCAGTCGATAACAAATAGATTATCGTCCTATTTTTACATTTTTTTTACCATTCATAACCCATTTCTCGTCATTATGCTTGCATAAAACAAAAATGATCTCCCGTTTTCTGAATTACACACCACGCTGACTCAATGCCACAAAATGAATTATTCACAAAAACAGTTCAAGAGTTGACCTTCCTTAAAATAACTCATGTAATTCTCTGTAAACAAAAAAGGCGCCTTTGAATCACGCCTTCACTTTAAACTTGCAATAATCGTGATCTGCAATTTGATGACTTAAGTTGGTTTCAATCATCATCATTTAAATTCCATTTATCTTAAGCCGTCCTGGCCCATTTTATGCAAGTTCACCTGCCAGTTGCTTTACTCACGTATTCTGTATGACAAACTGCTGTGCCAGTGTCCTGCGCTGTTAATGGCACCGAGGCCTTGAAGAATACGACAAATGTAATGTGTTTCGGTATAAGGAATCATAGGCATGAGAAACGGAAAAAGCTTACTAAACAAGGTAAGGTAATCTCCTGATTGAAAGCTAACCTGTTTTTGGCGTTCATATATTAGTGAGAAAAAGAATTGAAAAAGAGATTGCAGGTAAATGAAAATTAAAGACAAGAAATGAAAAATCAAAATAAATGGAAGGGATGAAAGGGGTGACCTTGCTCCCTCGTCCTTACTAATTGAATGTAAAATGCAAATTCAAAGAACAATCAAACAAACAATATTTAAACCAACATGCTTTATTAACCCATTTGTTCAAAGGAATTTTGCCGAAAAACGAGTTTTGAAGCTAGTCGACCCGTTTTCTGGTCACTCTCTGCCTAATTAAGAGCAAAAACATACCACAAAAACCGTTTGCAGTTCGTTTACAGTAAACTTTAATACCACGAATATTTTATCGACCCGACTAACTGCCCCTGGGTCTCCGAGGATGTAAGCGGCCTTCTAGTCGACCCAGATGCAAAATATTAGCTTCTGAAGTTCTGGCGTGTGCTTTCCTTCTTTTCGCTTTCTCTCTTGCCCTCTTCTTTTGCTCTTTTTACCAATTTTTTTCTTTTAGCTGGGTATTTAAAAGGCTTAATTTGGTGGGAAAATTTGGGGGAGAATCGTCTGCGATCTTGGGATTACATGAAAGGAAAGGTTGGTGAGTAGTGGAACAGCATTTTCCACATGGGAGTTTTCAGGTCAACGTTACGAGGTTTTTTGCCTTTTTTTCTCGCCTCCTTGCTGAATCGTGCTCTTTCTTGTATGGTTTAAAAGATCTGCTTTACCCTCAGGCACAATATAGAGGGTAAAGTTGTCCTTGAACGTTAAATTAAAACCGATGACGTCACAGGGGTTAGAAGAGAAGTGGATCCACCCGGGCTGTTATGGGCGGCTCAGGGGTGAATAGGCCAAATCGTCAAGTAATAAAAGACGGATACTTTGCCTAGACATGTGCATGTTCAGGTTAATAGACACACGTGATCAGAAGCCTATCATCCCAGATCGGAGCGCCGATCTCCTAAGGTTTTGTCACATACTGTAAGAACAGTATCAGGATGCACAACGGATTTATCTTTAGGGCGGGAAATATGAGAGCAGTTTATGATATCCAGCAGTGAGCTTGGCGAAGAGTCATTCAAAAAGATAGTATAACGGGTTAAAAAAACCTTAGTTAGAGTTGAGAACCATGGAAGCTTAATCTAGATCAAATAGTTTATTGGATTGTGCGTCCATCTAAAGAAGACATCTAGTTTTAAAAAATCGAGTAATAGACTGAACTTGAATGATGAATCCGACTGCTGCAATTATAGACCGATATCATTGCTAAGTGTACCAAGCAAAATCCTTGAATCAGTAGTCAAGGACACAATTGTTCGTCATGTATACAAAGCTAATAATCTAGTCACGGACAAACAATGGGCATACCGCGCAGGATTTTCAACAGAACTGTTACTAATACAACTTACTGAAACATGGAGAGAAGCTGTGGACGCAGGCTTAGTGGTAGCAGTTGCCTTCATAGACTTTAAAAAGGCATTCGATAGTGTGTCGCACGCCATTCTCGAAACGAAGTTGGAAAGGGACTTTGGCATATCAGGGCTACTCCTGGACTGGCTTAAAAGTTACTTAAAGGAAAGACAGCAATACACAGCTGTTAATGGATCAACTTCAGAGATGATACCGATCTCTTTTGGAATTCCTCAAGGGTCTATCTTGGGGCCGACACTTTTCACTCTCTTCTCGAACGATCTTCCGTCCTCAGTATCTTCCGGATCCGTCTATATGTTTGCCGACGACTCAACGGTTTACTGCATAAGTGACACGGCAGAAAAAAGTATTGCCAAGTTAAATTCTGCACTTCGTGAATTAAACGAGTGGTGCCTCATTAACAGATTAACACCCCACCCAAGTAAAAGTGAGGCCATGCTAATCTCTAGAAGAAATCCCCCGGTTAACATTCCCCCGATCTTTATCGGAAACTCTACGATTGAATGGGTATCGAAATCACGATTACTGGGAATGACCGTCGATGAGAAACTGACCTGGACTCAGCATATGCTGGAACTCAAAAAATCATTTGCTAAAAAACTAGGATTACTTAAGAAGTCGAGATTTCTCCCTAGAAACGTTCGTCAGGATCTCTATTTTAAGGTCATCTTGCCTTCAGTGACCTATGGTCTTATACTATGGGGATCTTGCTGCAATTCCGACTTATTTCAGTCCCTGGAAAGACTTCACTGCAGGGCTGCGAGACTTATCTTTCATTTGCCGAAAGACATGGCATCTGCTGATGTCCTACAACGGGCCCAATGGCAAACTCTGTCTATTTATTATAAATTAGCCATTTTTATCTGTCTTCATAAAGCTTTCCACGATAGGTTACCTGTCACATTAATCGACCTGATTTCTAAGAAACGGGCCACAAACTATTCAACCCGGACTTGCGCTTCTTTAATTGTTCCACGCTTCAACACGCGTTACATAAAAGACTCTGTCGCGTTTAGAGGCTCAGTCCTGTGGAATGCAGTGACCTACAACTGTAGTGCCCTAGCAAAAACATTCCTCATCGTGATCTCAGGCTAAAGCTCAAATCTCAAGCTAATTTTAATGAATTCAGCTTTAAGATAACGTCTGCATCCACTTGTAATTTTAGAAAAGATGACTTTGTATATAATTAATTTATGCTCAAAATTTCATATTTGTAAGCGCTAATTTAGTTCAAACGTTTTGTCTGTATATACCCCTAGTTTTTACTTGTAATTAGTTAATTGCAAACGACCCCACGA